ACGTCCGAGTTGGTCGTGGGTCTGGGTGCGTCTCAAAAGAAGGTCACCCCATCTCTCGAGATCGTGTCGCGGGCTTTGCGTGCTACGAGTGGTCCTCTTTTTTGTGCAGCTCTCCAGTCAGCTATTCAGCAGTAGTCGGCGAGCCTCAACCTCCAACCCTGTCAGCAACAGGGGCGGTGAGGAAGGCGGAGACCGCGTAAAGGGATGCGACTTCTAAGCATGATCAAGCGAGATGGCAACAATTGGACGTGTCAAGGAACTTCTGGATAGAGCGGGGAAAAAGGATGCAGAGGTAGTGCAGCTCCTGGCCGAGGCAGAGATTGCGAAGAGGATGGCTGCGTACGCGCTCTCCGAAGAGGCGGGCATCGGAGTGATAGCACCAGCAGCTTCTCCCCAGGTTGATCATCAAGGATTCCAAGCGTTTCGATGTCTAGTGGGACGAGAGATTCTTCCAGGCGTTACACAGGAGGAGAGCTGACTTGTGAAGAGGGTGAGATGGACGAACGCGTCCAGCTCGGGTATGGCCCACTGACTGCCGGGTCCATGCCCAGTACGAAGGGCGACCGGACACATCCGCCTGGCGTGCTCGCATGGCGGCCCTCCCAGAGGGCGGCTGAGACGAGGAAGGGCTCCGACGGCAAACCTCCTGAAAGAGGCAGCGGTGAAGCTGGTGCTGCACCGGGTGCTACGGTTGTGGATGCCACGACGATGGACACTCCAACAATCCTACCATTGAATGAAACATGTGTTAATATGTGTAAACAAAAAGTTCTGAAAACGTTTCAAACATGCTTTTACATATTTGCACATGTTTGAACATGTTGTAGACATCTGGAAACTATTTGGCAGCATGCTTCCTCTCCGTTGATCGACTTCCACAATGCTCCAGGCCGCGCCCACGACGACGCCCACGGCAGGGCATGCGGGGGGGGGGCGGGCGAAGCAAAGAACCAGGAGGACACCCAGGCACGCGTCGACGCGGGGATCAAGCGCAACAGGGACTGGCCATCGCTCGGACGTCCATTCCCCGTGCACGGTTCGGTGTCGTGCGTGTTCTTGTTTTGCTCGAGGGTCCAGGATGCTCCTCGATGGTCCTCGCCAAGAAAACAGAGGCACGGGTCCGAGCGATTCCGAGGGGAGGTCAAGCAGGCGGCAGCTGCAGCGGCAGCCGCCTCGGCAGCCAAGGCAGCAACGAGGGCGGCGGCGGCCGAGAGCTGGGGCAGCGGCGCGAGCAACCAGCCGACAGCAGGTGGTCGTCAAGGGCTGCTGGCACAGCGCCCCTCCTGTCCAGCAGCTTCGTCTTCGGGGGGAGGCCTGGGGACGACCGTGGCGTGCCCTTGCACGACATGATACCAAAGTCGGCCCCCATGTCATCGGGTAGTGGCACAGCTGCTGGCACACTGAGGATCCCAGGAGGTACGAGGGCGCTATCGCCAACGGCTTCGGCCTCACGCACTGTCGCCTCTTTTCCTACCTCTTCGTCTTCTCCTTGAAGCAGGGAAGGAAAAGTCGTACAGGCGTTCTTTAGCAACGCGACTTCCTTGGGCCGCAAAGCCTGAGATCATGTGTTGCACCTCGTGGAAATCAAGGCATTCGAGCATGTCGCCTGAACTCACATCAGCGGCAACAATTCCCAGCAGTAGATCAAGAGAGCCCGGCAACACAAGTTGAGGTGCGAAGTCAATCCACCTCGGCACACGTCGACGAGGTGTCCGACAAAGGCTGGGCAGACTCGTGCAAATCAGGGTGGTGGGATGTTTCTGTCGCAGTGGCATGAGGCTACGCACCAACTCGCTCGCGTCAGCTTGGGGGAGCTGCGCGTCTCGGGTCAGAAGATGCTGGACGCGGTTTTGCCAGTGGCGGTTCAGATGAAGGCTATCGTATTGCTGCCGTCACACTCATGGAGTGAGTGGTTGAGGATTTGATCAGGAATTGCCAAATTTGCTCGACTCGGGGGGCCACATTGCAAGCCAGCCAACTGCCGTGGGTCGTGCTCGAAGACTTTGACCTCACTCCCTTCGAGCTCCAGCGTTCTGGTTTCGTGCACAAGCTCGGTGGAACACACGTGTATATGGTCCAGTGGGTCGCCACACATCGACTATGCACTTGCCTCTGGGTTCTGCTGTTCCATACATCTTCAAATTGCAGGCGATCCTGGCCATCCCCTGAAAATCACACTGCGCGAATGCGTTCCAACTTCGGCGATCCGGGGTCCAACGTATCACCGAGTCGCTTCATCCTTCCCTTCCAGGCTTCCCGGACTCAAGCGCAAAAGAGACCTGGACCAAAACCGTCTAGGCCTCGGAGGGAGCTTGCTTTTCGACAGGGTGTGGCCACAGAAAAGCAGTCCGAGCGCATGCAATCTCTGTTCGGCGATGTGGTCAATGCTGCCAAGCCGGGTAATGGTTTGCCCGCTTAGAACCCCCGACCAGGCCCAGGTGAAGGGAAACTGGGACACACAAATAAATACACACAAATAAAATGATTCCCCATATTTTCCCATATTTTCTGGGTTTTTGTTTTCCCCCCCACTTCCCATATTTTTGCATATTTTCCTGGGAGTCGACGATTAATTGTGTCTGTGTGTTTCTTTTCCCCCTGAGGTTTGCCCGCTTAGAACCCCCGACCAGGCCCAGGTCCAATCTAGTAAACGCGGGATCTCGAGGCTCCTGAAAGGCGGGAAGGATGCCACGTAGGATCTATGGACGACGAGGTGGACCCTTGGGCTGATGATCCCAACTTCGGGGACCTCGTCCTCTGCCCCCCCCCCCAAACGGCGCTCCTGTTAACAATAGGACCCCTTGTATGGTGGCGGGTGCTCCCGTGAATTCTGGTGTCGGTTGCTTACAGTCCGACTTCAGCCCGGCTGCGAATGATTATGTTCAGACCCCCCCCCCGCGGGAGCCCCTCCTAATTCGTAAGCCAATGCCCCTTCCCCCATCTCCAGCAAAACTCCTCCTGCTGGTCCGCTTGATGCTGATGCGACTGCCTTTGCTATCTCTCTCTCTCTATCTCTCTCTCTCCCGACCGCTGGCGTTTGGTTCGGAGCGACACTGGCTTTCACCAATGCACATCTGAACAAGTCTGGAAACCGATTCGAAACTCTATTGCCTTCAGGGTTGGAGGTGGTCATGCTCTCTCGGTGCGCGGCACCTGTTCGGCTTGGATCACCTGTGGAAGACGTGCACACGAACCTTGGAGGTACTAGATCAGGAACAGGACGTGCAGCGACTTCGCGCTCCACTGGCCCAAGGATGGTGGTCAGGAGGATACGGCACTCTGAATACGATCGCGAGATGCTGCACCATGGCGATGCCAACTGGTGGGAGAGATTGCAGGTGGACTCGTCTAAATTGGCCCAGCACAAGAAGCGCAACAGCGGTGATGCTCAAATCCTGTCACTCGTCCCGGCTGGAGCCGCAATTGGATCTAAGTTGCCCGATGGTGTTTAACGATGCGTTGGATCAACCGCAGGTGCGACATCCTGGGGCACGTGGCAGGAGATCCTCAGGAGCTTGAGCGACGGTGAGGAAATTGTCAGAGAAGGCCTTCCTGGCATTCCCATTACGGGTAATGTTGTCGTCGATGCTCTAGCAGGCCTGGCGGCCAAGTCGCTCCGCGTTCCCGAAGCTCCGCGCACCAGAGTCCTCCAGACGGAGGCTGACGCCAAGCTCATTCGGGAACGCCTTTTTGAAAGCCACACTGGAGGCCATACGTGCGGAATGGACATTGGTTCGGTGTCCTTCTGCTGGTTCTGCTGCCCCCGTTCCTGCGGCTGTGGCTATCGTTAGCAGTCGCCACGTCCTTCAGGATTGTGGCAAAAGATCCCAGATTTCTCAGATTTCAGCTTCCGGCGCGGAGAGAACGCGGTGGCTGGACTCCGATTGTAGCACCCTTGAAAATTAATTGGACCTACTATGAGATTAGCGTCGGGGGAGAGTTTACATCTCGCTGGGGGGGGGCCCGCGGATCGCACTGCATGGAGTACCACGAACCGCTCGCCCTGTGATGCTGTGGGCCTTGCGGATTCTACAGTCCATTCCAGCTGCGAGGTCTTGCCTCGCAGTGCCGCCCCACTCCGCTGACCAAGGCTAGACGTGAATAGTTCTGCAGACTCTCCAGAAGGTTTCGGCAGCAAAGTTCTCAGCAAGGCTGAGAAGGCCGTTCGTTCCTAGGTGTAGTCACTATTACATTAGACTCCCCTCGCGACTAGTCTTACAGCATCACCGTATTCCTGGAGGAAGCAACATGTACCAAAACAGCTGCTCCCAAGACCTCTATTTGGGTGCGTTCTGACCAGAAACTCGAGGCAAACCACTGCATACCCTCGCGCGCCATCGGCATTCGGCAAGGGACTCGAATAGTAGTCGCTCGCCAGCGAACGCCTACTGCTTGCATTACTTTACTTTGGCGATGGCGGCGTAAACAGCTCAGCTACCCCAGTACGCAACACAACACCCGTACACGGAGATTGAACACGTTCGCCAAAACGCGGATCAACGCGTGCCGAGCCAACACGCAGCGTGTTGGCAAGGACGCTTTCAACACGGTACGTGATGCGTATCAGCACGGGCGTACCGGGGAAGCTGAGGCAAGCAACTGACCCACGGAACAATCCCGAGGCGAATTTAGCCGTTGCGACTCTCCCAGGAGCCTGCGGCAAAACGTCGACGGGGCAGTCGGCGGCACGCCCCCGGCTACCCGTGGCGCCGCCGCGGGCCGCCGTCGGCGAAGTCCTCTTCCTCGTCGTTGTCGTCGTCGTTCTTGTCGTCGGCACCCTCGTAGTCGTTGTCGTCGTCGCCCTCGTCGTCCTCGTCGTCGTTGTCAACTTCGCTGTCGACCTCGTCCTCGTCCTCGTCCTCGTCGTCGTCGTCGTCGTCGGGGTCGTTGTCGTCGGCGTCGTCGTCGTCGTCCTGGTCGTCCTCGCCTTCGACGTCGTCCCAGCCTTCGTCGTCGTCGTCGTCCTCGCCGTCGCCGTCGCCGACGGCGCCGGTGTGGTCCTGTCCGCCTGGGCGTCGGAGAGCTCGTAGCCCGAGGCGCCGAGGGCGCGCAGCAGGCCCCCGAGGGGCCCGCTGGGCGCCAGCACCTCGGGCACGGGGCTCTGCAGCACCTGCCAGGGAGGGCCGGGGCGGCCTGTGCAATGTTTCCCAAGCGTCCTGTTGTTGGAGGAGGAGGAGGAGGAGGAGGAGGAGGAGGAGGGGAGGAGGAGGAGGGGGAGGAGGAGGAGGAGGAGGAGGAGAGGGGAGAGGAGAGGGGAAGAGAGGAGGAGGAGGAGGGGAGGAGGAGGAGGAGGAGGGGAGGAGGAGGAGGAGGAGGAGGAGGAGAGGAGGAGGAGGAGGAGGAGGAGGAGGAGGAGGAGGAGGAGGAGGAGGAGGAGAGAGAGGAGGAGGAGGAGAGGAGGAGGATGAGGAGGAGGAGGAGGAGGAGGAGGAGGAGGAGGAGGAGGAGGAAGGAGGAGGAGGAGGAGAGGAGGAAGGAGGAAGAGGAGGAGACGGAGGAGGAGGAGGAGGCCAGGGGTTTTCGTTCACAAGAGACAGCTCCCCACGTTCCTGCCTTCCTTCCGTCCTCCTCCCTCCTCCCTCCTCCCCCTCCTCCCCTGCGTGCCTCGGCTCCTCGCATCGTGTTGCCATACTTCGGCACGCCCCTTACACACTTGGATTTCCCACAGCGCTGCACTCACAACCGAGATGGTTAGGCCCTTCGTCTAGAGAGTGTTGCTTTTGTTCCCACTGCATTCACACACACACACACACACATCTCGAACATCCCTCGCTCCGACTGGCTGTCGAATCCGGTTCCCCTCGAGGGGCTATAGCCGCTCCCGTTCAAGAGTCGCCGCCACCCTCTAGCAACGAGCGCGGACACGGGTGGGCGGCTCTGCAGTCTTCGGGCCCTGGCCAGGGGCCCCTGCTGAGCCCCAGGGACGCCCAGAGTGGTCCAGTCCAGTCCAGTCCAGAGCCTACCTGGAACGTTCAAAGACTTTCGCTCCCATGTCGTCGTAAAAAAACATGGAAGCCCGGTCTCCCGGGAATGGGTCGAGACCTCTGGGGCTCTGCAGCACCTCTGGACGGCTCGGGAAGGGCGGCGGCGCGCTCTTGGGGCTTGTGGGGAGGGGAGGGTGAAGCTTTGAGGCTGGAGGCTCGAGATTCTCGGTCGTTCCCGTCGGTTCTCAGCGGCTTTCCAGCCTCGGGGTGCCTTCCAGCGGCTCGCCGAGGGCGTTCCGGGGGTGCCCGGATCGTCCCGAACGCCAACACATCGGGCACGGGGCACTGCAGCACCTGCTGCGCGGCTCCAGAGGGGAGGCGGCACGGTCTGGGAGGAGGCTGCCCTTTTTTACTCGACGAGGGGGCTGCCTGCCGTTCAAAACCCTGAGACCCGGGCGTGGCAAAAGCTCCACACTGGACGTTCCCCACCGGCGTCGTGTCCTGGGATCACCACAGACCGATACTCCTCGAAAATGCCTCGGGAAGATTTGGTATAGCGCTCGGCCCGAGATTAGTTACGATGTTCCAAATTCTTCTTCATTGGATTTCAAGGAATGCTGGTCACATACACATGGCAATCCATTGCAGGATCGGTAGGTCCTATCCTTCCGGAGACTATGCAGGCTGTTGCGCACACCTGGCGCTACGGCGCATCACAGGTGGCGGGGGCAGACAGCTTTGGCGGGGGGGTATCTTGTTGTGCCTCCTGCGGCTTCGTGTGTTCTTTAGCATATCGTTCCGCGTATGCAAAAACATATCGTTGTCAAGATGGGTCATAAAGGGACCTAAGGACGACCCAACACGCTTCAAATAGCGCTCCAAGGGCGTCCAAACATTGTCTACAGAGACGATGTTCGGCCTCCAGGAGGCCCCCCCAGGTTACTCGCCAAGTTTTTACAAGATGGCCCAAATCTCCCCCAACAGGGCCCGAATAGACCCCAAGAAGCCCACACAAATTCAAATACTGGTCCCAAACAAACTTCATGATGACCCCACAAAACATATAAAAAAGCCCAAAGCGAAATATCCGCGAAAGCTTGTAGAATCAACTCCTGTTGTCGTCGTAATTGTGGACGCCTCATTCCTCCGCCTTCTCATCCTCCGCTCCCTCCTCCTCCTTCTCCTCCTCCTCCTCCTCATCCGCCTCCTCCCCCTCCCGCATCAACCAAACAACTGAATTATTACGAAGCCCCCTTCCCCGATTCGACCAGCCGGCGACCGGGAACAGCGATGGCCCCACATCCACCATCCGAGTCAGAAAACAATGCAAAATGCACGCGGCGGCAAAAGCTGGATCATGGGCGGGAATCCCGGAATCACTGTTCGGCCTCCTGTTCGACAGGCTGTCGCAGGGGTGTGATCATCGTTGTCCACTGCGTGCTCGCCCACTAGCCGAATTCAGAGCAGCAGAGTGTGCTGTCACGCGCACTGGCGCGCCTGTCGCCGCCTGCAGCACGCTGCCCGAACCACGCCCCTCGCCCTGCCCCCGCCCCCCCTCCCCGCGGAACTCGCCCCGCCCCGCCGCCTCCCACGCCGCCCGCTCCCCGCCACCGCTGTGCCTAGCCAAGGCCCTCCTGGGCCCTGGCCGTGCCGTGCACGCCCGCCTGGCCGAGGCCAGCAAGGTCCAGACGCCATCCCGAGGCCCAGGACGGCCCCGCCCAGGCAGGGCAGGTGGCGCACAGCTTCCTTCTGCGGCTGCACTCGCCCCGCCTCGCCACACGCGTCAGCATCCTCACCTCATGTACTGTTCCAGCTCCCCCGTGTGGGGTGAACACTCACGCATGATAAAAACAACCTGCGGCTGCACGTCTGTAACTGCTGCTGCCCTGCCGTGGTGGAATGCGTGTCTGCCAGATGGGTGGCACAGATACGAGCCATAGACATGCAAAGCTACATGGATGAAAAGATCACAACGTTCAACAGTATACATGAATGCATCAGGGGGCTCGGCTACGCATCTTAACACAGGAGCTGCGCGAGGTTCAAATGCCCACGACACTATGGGATATAAACCCTGATCGAGTAGAACGGTGCCAAGAAACATGGAGATATGTACATGATTGCTAACGTCTCCTCCTCCATCACACGGGACGCGCTGGAGACGCAAGGGAACTAGAGGTCAAACGACGTATGGCTTGCTACGACGCTGGTGAATGAGATAAGTTGCACGGATCTGCCCGGAAGATGAATCGAAGAGCCATTCGACAACGCCAAACTGCGACCACAGCTACAGCTAAAGCTTCGGAATTGGTGCAACAGCCACGCTGCTCGCTTCTTGAGTTCTCCAAGAAATCCCGCTGGCGCACAACAAACTGTTGACGAACTCCTTCACCCCGACCTCCGCCCTGCGTCCCCATGCGAACCCTTCCCGGCGAATTCGCCGAATTGCAACCAAGATCAGACATACTATTGGACAGACAGCATGTTGCTGCAGTGCTACGTCGGTCATGGCAGGGTCTGAGTGCTGGAATATGGGGTGGGAGATACTGAGCACTACAACTAATGCATGAAAAATAATATTTCGTACGATGTGTCGTGTGACGTGGCTGACAGAGCAGCCCGAGCACGTATCCCTCTGGAAAACCATGACCTCGTGCTTGTGTCAACACTAACTGCCTTACAGACACTGGACAAAATACGCGACATTGCGGCCGGTAATGCTGTCGGACGGATTGTGGCACAGTGCTTAGCGAGGCAACGTCAAGCCGATTTTCTTGCGGCAATTCGGCCATGAACTTCGGCCTCAGTAATCGGGGCGGTACTGACTCCGCGGTCCATTCTTGCAATACCACACTGGTGCTAAGCGGGAGAAAGTACTTGTCAGCATCGACGAGGTTGGTGCTTTTGGCCATGGATACAGGGCACGTATGTTTGAGGCACCACTAAGAATTCCGACACGTCATGGTCTCATTTGAATGGAAGTTTATGTTGCAGCCTTTGGTGTACGGGCTAGCTGGTGAGAGGGAGAAGCTACCACAAACACTTCCTGAACTCCCCCTCTCTCCAAGCAGCCTGGCTCTTGCACGACTTCTGCGCTGCCCCCAACAAAAAAAACACCTCCTTCGTGCGTCGCCACCCCACTTAGCTCGTATTGCCACGGTGTCGCACGACACCAAAATCTGAAAATCTTCAGGACGATGTTAGGTGTCGCTACGGCCGATATTAGGCATTACGATGTGCATGGGGTTGCTTACGACGGACTGGGTCTCACATGCAGCGCTCCCGCTGCGACTAAAGGCATGGGCTGAATCTCTCCCTTAGCTCTTACAGCGATTCCCCCGGCTACCCCAGCGAATGCAGCGCCCTGCGGACCTGCATGTTTGGTTCCTGCTGAACGGGCGGAGTAAATGTGCAATGATAGTGGGTGGGCAAATCGGCCTACTGGGAATCATATTGCAACCGGCCTCTGGCCACTTGGCCTGCCAGACCCCGCGGAGGAGCCCTTCACATTACGAGAAAGGACACACGGATGGCAGCTTCACGCATCCATCGCGTTGGAACTATCTACCCACCAACGGCTACTGCGAGATTTACCAGCACAAAGGGCAAACGCTGCTTCCAAAGCCAAACCACGCTTACAGTCGTGTATGGGCTCCTACGCAGATGTCTAGCTCACAATTTGCCCCACGACGCCCGCTACGACGTGCAGCAACGATTCATTCAGGTGTGCCGTACGAAGGCATTCAGGGTTAGCAGTGACATGCGACGGGCCTGACCCGCATGGGTTCTCAATACTAGCCGATTACGAAGGGACTCGCCTCCACGCGCGGACTGGTAGCGGCACGGAGGCAAATACTCACAGAGCTTGCGACCACATACCGGATCGCGACGGTGGAACGCTTGCTCCGGAGCAGCCACGTCCCAGTGCCAGCTGGAGACTTACGTCGCCTCGATCTTGTTGTCCCTGGTTTATCGGGGGCTCACGGGGTGGCATTGTTTTGCAATGTCTTTGCGATGTCCACTAGTTCACAAAATAGCAAACCACGTCCAGGGACAAGCAATCAGGGTGGTGCTTTCTAACACTACATACCACGAAATTGTGGATTGAGAATATTATTATCATTGGGATCGGAAAATTACGGAAGATAAGGACACTGTATCAGTTGTTGGTATCGGCATTTGCTCGTGCGCACACCCGCGGAAGGCACGCAAACGTACGGAAAAAGTGCCACTTCAGGCTTCCTCCACCGCCGGTGGGGCTTTTCAACATATGCCTTTACAAATTACGGTAGATCATGCCATCTTACACGACTACGCCGATTTGCAGCAGACGCCGTTGGAAGCGGCGCCTGCGTTGGCCGACTTAAAGGTCGTTGAAGTTCCCCATCCCTCCTCCTCCGCCCCCTGTCCTCCTCCTCCTCCTCTTCATCCTCCTCCTCACTCCTCACTCCTCACTCCTCACTCCTCCTCCACATCCTCCTTTGTCGCTGCTTAGCCTTCGACCGGCGCCCGCCGTTTCACCTATACCTGGTTTGCGGGACCAGTGGTGCTTGGTCCGGTACAAAAGAATCACATATATGAAACTGCTGCTGCTGCCCTGTCGTGGTGAAATTTGCTCAGCGTGTGAACATCTAGACGCGAAGCAAGAAGCGTGACAAAAACGGAAACATGGGTGCGGCCTCCTTCATCCCCCCCTCTTCCTCCTCCTCCTCCTCCTCCTCCCCCTCCTCCTCCTCCTCCTCCTCCTCCTCCTCCCCCCTCCTCCTCCTCCTCCTCCTCCTCCTCCTCCTCCTCCTCCTCCTCCTCCTCCTCTCCTCCTCCTCCTCCTCCTCCTCCTCCTCCTCCTCCTCCTCCTCCTCCTCTCCTCCTCCTCCTCCTCCTCCTCACTCCTCCTCCTCCTCCTCCTCCTCCTCCTCCTCCTCCTCCTCCTCCTCCTCCTCCTCCTCCTCCCCCTCCTTCTCCTCCTCGTCCTCGTCCTCGCGCGCGCGGCGGCCTCGCTCGCGCCCGCCTCCAGCAGCGGGGTGAGGAGGCTGGCGCCGAACTGCCGCAGCAGCGCGGAGATTGAGCCTGGAGGAGGCGTCGGGAGCCTCCGGGGCCGAGCCTTCCGGCGACTGCTGACCGCGCTGCCCGTTGGCGCCCAGAGGTGCTACAAGCCCATGCGATAAAACAGTTCTTCCCAACCATCCTGTAGTACTGGGTACTCGTTTTTAAGAGGCAGCGCCCCGCGCTCCTCACTCCTAACTCCTCCTTCCCCTCCTCCCTCCTGCTCTCCTTGCCTCTGGCCCAGCGTACGCATGCGGTTCCCCGCCCAATTCGGCACACCCCTTACACGTGTCGTGGCCTCATAGAGCTCCACCGAAGGCCTCAGTGACAGGGTCATGCGGTCCCTCCCGAGTCTGCACACTCCTCACGCGCTTCGTGGTCCCATAGGGAGCTCCACGAAGGCCCCAGTGGCAGGGTCATGCGGTTCCCCGCTCATATCGGCACAACCCACACACGCTTCGTGGCCCCATAGGGAACTTCACCGAAGGCTTCAGTGGCAGGGTTCGCATGCTGTCTCCCGCCCATTTCGGCACACCCCTCACACGTGTCGTGGCCTCATATGGGAGCTCCACCGAAGGCCTCAGTGGCAGGGTCATGCGGTCCCTCCCGAGTCTGCACACTCCTCACGCGCTTCGTGGTCCCATAGGGAGCTCCACCGAAGGCCCCAGTGGCAGGGTTCGCATGCGGCATGCGGTCCTCCGCCCATTTCGGCACACCCCTCACACGTTTCACCGAGAGCGGTGTCACAACGCGGTGCTCACAACTGTATATGTCTGGTCCCTTCGCCGTTTTGTTGGGGAGAGCTCGGAGAGCCCTTTCACGCTGTCGGAGTTCGCACGCCAGCGAAAAGACTCCTACTTTACACTCAACTCTACACGCTCACGCCTCGCCGTCACTCTCCAGAAGCGTGGTCCCTCATACGGGTAGAACAAAAACCCGCCCCTCAACAGACAAAGTACGGAGCTTCAGCGGTCGATACGACAAGACTGAAGGCGCCCTGGGACACACAAATAAATACACACAAATAACATCATTCGCCAAATATTCATATATTGTCTGCTCTTTGTGTTCCCTCCCACTTCCCATATTTTCCCATACTCTCTGGAAATCGACGATTAATTGTGTCTGTGTTTTTTCCCTCCTTGAAGGTACGGAGCTTCCGCGGTCGATACGACAAGACATCCGGCGACACCTGGGGGGCGCATTCTTCGTCGACGCCGAGCTTCTCGGGGTGCCCCACGGCTGCGTGGGGCCCAGCGGGCGGCGGTGAGAAACTGTCGTGGAGCGTCCCTTGGGCGAGTGCTGTTGGGGGGTGGCCCACATGGGGGGGTTGAAGACAAGAGGCCTAAAGGAGCGCGTTCCACTACTCGCAACGTCATTACTCGCAAATGGCCTAGATCCCGCGCGGGGGATCTACGAGAAAATACATAAAAGCAGACATGTGTTTTCGGGCGTTTGCGAGTAGGCACTTTGCGAGTAGCGGAACGCGCTCGGTGATTTAGGGCTCCTTTTGGCACCAACTGGCTCCAAAAGGGGCCCCAATGGCCCCTTGTGGGCCCCTTTCTTCGCCCCCCATCTGGGCCGCCCCCCAGTGGCGCCCACCCGAATCCCTTGGACGGCCGGCTTCCTGTCCGGTGCGCACACTGCAGAAAGCTGCAGCAGAGGCATGGACAACACTCGGGCCGGGCGAAAGGGGGGGATAGCAAAGGAGGGGTTTGAGAATCAGCTCACGTAGCTGATTTTCCCGGCGCCTCCCGGCGCCGGAGGCGCCCATGTATCGAGGAATGGGCCCGGCGGCGGGGCCGAAACCAGCTGCATGCAGCAGATTGCGTAACCCCTCCTTTCCCTATCCCCCCCTTTCGTCCGGCCCGAGAGGACTGCGACTGCCACCCGCCTGGCATGCGCAGCCCTGGGGTGCAGCGGGTTGGGGCCGACGCGCTGGTGGCAGCCAGAAACGAAACACAAGACGTGTTCTCTGGACAGCTCCAGTCTTCGCGGGCGGCACACCGCGAGAGGAGAGGAACTAGCGACGAGAGATGAGAAGCGGAGCTTGCACTGTTCGCCCGATTCGGTCTTCCTGAGGGAGGGAACCTTTGTCGCCACAGTTGGACTCCCATCGAGGTCCTAGTCAGAAGCCACAACAGGGCAGGAGCCATAGGAGGACGGAGGAAGGGAGGGAGGGAGGGAGGGAGGGAGGGAGGAGAGAGGCTTGAGGCGGAGGAGTGAGGGGGGGGCGGGGAGGCGGGACGGACTAGGAGAGGAGGGAGGAATGGATAAGGGAAGAAGGGTAAAATCGAGCCACGTGACCGAACGCAAAACGAGCGGAGAACGAGGAGGAGGGGTACCAGAGTAGACGGGAGGAGAGAGGAGGGAGACGGTGGGAGGAGTCAAGAAGGAGAAGGAGGGAGAAGTGATGGAGAAGGATGGGAGGCGGAGAGATGGAGCGAGGAAGAAGGATGAATCAGTAGAGTAGGTAGCAGGATTGAGGGGGGGATAGGGAGGTTGGGGGATCAAGGAGGAGAAAGGAGGAGGGACTAATAGGACGGATGGGGGTGATGGAGGGGAACCGTGTCATTAAAGCGGATGAGAGGGAACGGGAGGAATCGATCACTGCAGTTGAATCGGAGGAGGAAGCGGAGGGGAGGATACCCAGGGTACGTCAAGGCATGTGCTCTAGCACCCAGGCCATTGCAACAAATTCGGGTGCGCTTCGCTCATGGCCGTGATTGTGTGGGCAGAAGTGGGTGCGCCATCCAGGGCAATGTCCGTCCTCAAAGATCGATGTCATGGTACCGCATCGTTCGTATCGCCACATCTCCTGCTGCTTCTGCTCTCCGTCCTCTCCGTGTCGTCTCACGCGTCGTGCCGTTGGTCTCGGGCCCCGCCCTCGTCGATCGAACGAACCAAGGAAATTCACGGAGCAGGCTATGTGAGCTGTGGAGCACGCTGGGCGTCTGAGAAGGGGATCACAAAGAGTAGGAATGAAAGGGATGAGGAGACAGGAGGAGAGACATCATGAGGAGGATGAGGAGAGACAGAAAGATAATGATGCAGGTAGAGAGGCAGGAATTGATGTCGATAAAAAGGAAGAGGAGCACTGCAAGTGTGTGTATAGATGTACGAGTGTAAGCCGTCGAGAAACAGAGAGGTTGTAAGCGCGACGGAGAGAGAAACGACAATCAGTGGCAGAACAACAAAACTAACAAATGAAATTAATTAAACTCAGGAGCCTCGAGACCCTAGATCTAAAGCCTCACTCCTGAACCTCAGTTTCGCTCTCTCTGTCAGCTTGCATGCTTGAATCTGGTACGTGTCATCTGTGCTTCCCCAGTCGTCGCCGTCGTTGTCGTCGTCGTCGGCGGCGCAGCCTCAGCCCCCGCCTCCGCCGCCATCTCCGACGCCGTCGTCGTCGTCGCCAGCGCCGCCGAAGAGGAACAAGTGGGGCTCCCAGTGCCAGTCGGGGCCGCGCGGGCGCAGAGAGGGATGGCGCCGCGCCCACGCCTGTCGGTCGTAGCGTCTCCGACAGTCTCCTCCGGGGGCGCCAGGTCAAAAATGAGAAAAGTGCCCAATTGGAGCTTGTCCTGGCAGAAGATCCAGACATATTTCAGTGCCGCATTGTGGCATCGCTTTCGGTAGAGCTGCCTATGGGGCCACGGAACGTGTGGGGGATGTGCCGGACTGGGCGGGGAACCGCATGCGAACCCTGCCACTGGGACCTTCGGTAGAGCTCCCTATGGGACCACGAAGCGCGTGAAGGATGTGCCTGGGCTGGGAATCGCACGCGAGTTCTGCTTCTGGGGCCGTCGGTTGAGCTCCCTATGGGGCCACGAATCGTGTGAGGGGTGTGAAGAATTTGGCGGGGAACCGCATGAGAACTCTGGGACTGTGCCGAAATGGGCGTGGAACCGCATACGAAGCCTGCCACTGGGGCCTTCAGTAGAGCTCCCTTGAACTTGTGAGGGGTGTGCGAAAATGTACGTGAGGACCGTAGAGGCAAGGATGAAAGGAAGGGAGGAGGGAGGAGAGAGGGGGCAGCTGTAGGGAGTGAGGTGTGACGCAAGGCCCTGTCTCTTCTAAACGAGACCCAACACCACAGGACGGTTGCAAAAAACATCCAAGCCTTCTCTCCAAACTCCACCTCATTCCACCCGGAGCCTCCTCTGCTCTCACTCGTCCATCCCCTCTCGCTGCATCCGCCCCCCTTCTCGTCCTCATTCGTTCTACCCGTCTCTCCTTCTCCCGCCCCCCCCCCCGTTCCTCCTGGCTCTAAGGCCCTCAGCCCTTATCTCTGCTCATCCCTCCTCCTGAAGCCTTCTCTCCTCCGCAATGCACGAGAGGACGAGGAAACGGCGGAGCCGCATGGGATCGGGGGGCCGAAAACGCTCGAGCCTCGTTCCTCCTCCCTCCTCCTCCTCCTCCTCCTCCTCCTCCTCTTCTTCTTCTTCTGAGTCTTCTTCTTTTTCTTATTATTATTATCATACTTACTACTGTCAGTATTATTATTCGGCTCATTATTCTTATCATTATTCGTGTTCGTATCATTCATTTGCATTATATAGTATTGTCATTGTTATGCGCCTTCGTCCTCCTATTAATATCATTAGCATTAGTATTACCATCCTATTACTATTCGTATTATTCGTATTACTATTCCTCCTCTTGTTAATATGATTCTTCTTATGCATATTAGTTTTCGGATTGTTAGTATTAGTCTTCTTATCGTAGTTGTAGTATTCGTAGTAGTCGTAGTATTCGTAGTATTCGTGATATTGTTTGTATTATGTGTACCCTTATGATTATTCAGATCCTTCGTCTTTTTATGAGTATTCAATTTACTACTAATATTATCAATATTATTAACCGTCCTTTTCTTCTTATGAGTATTCCTCCTCCTCCTCCTCTTTCTCCTCCTCCTCCCCCTCCCCCTCCCTCCTCCCTCCTCCCTCCTCCCTCCTCCCTCCTCCTCCTTCCTCCCTCCTCCCACGTTCCTCCTCCTCCTCCGCCTCCGCCTCCTCCTCCTCCTCCGCCTCCGCCGCCTCCTCCTCCTCATCCTCCTCCTTTCCCTCCTTTCCCTCCTTCTCCTCCTCATCCTCCTCATCCCTCCTCCTCCTCCTCCTCCTCCTCCCCTCCTCCCCCTCCTCCGCCTCCTCCTCCTCCTCCGCTTCCTCCACCTCCTCCCCATCCTCTTCTGCTCTTTCTTCTTATTTGTAGTATTATTCGTATTGATATTAGTTATTATTATGTTTATGTTTAGTAGTATTACTATCATTCGCAGTATTATGATGATGATTAGTATTATTGTTATGATTATTGTTATTATTATTACTATTATGATGATGATGATGATTATTATTATTAATACTATTATTAATATTATTATTAATATTATTATTAGTAGTATGGTTAGTATTCGTCTTGTTCGTAGTCTTCGCATGATTCGTGTTATGCTTCGTCGCATTATTATTCTTAGTATTAGTAGTATTATTCTTCTTCATGGTATTATTTCCATTAGTATTATTATGATTCCTCCTCCTCCTCCTCTTCCGCCTCCTCCTCCTCCTCCTCCTCCTCCTCCTCCTCCTCCTCCCCCTCCTCCTCCTCCTCCTCCTCCTCCTCCTCCCTCCACCTCCTCCTCCTCTCTTCTTCTCTCTCGTCGTATTCTTCTCTCTTCCTCCTCCTCCTCCTCCTCCTCCTCCGCCTCCTCCTCCTCCTCCTCCTCCTCCCTCCTCCTCCTCCCCCTCCTCCTCCTCCTCCCCCCCCCCGTAGCCATTTTGGCTCAAGCCATTTTGGCTCAAGCCATTTTGGCTCAAGCCTCGGGCACCAGACCCAGCCTGGAGGATCCAGACAACCAGTCTGTCATCCTCTCATCGCCAGTTTCCTTTGTCTGGTCGCAGCGGCAAACGGCCGGACACTCTCGCCATATTGCTTTTGTCCTTTCAACCCCAGACGCACCAAGTTGGGATGACATATCAAGCAGAGGAGCGGGGCGAAACACCCCTGCAGGAGGGTGCATGGCGATGGCATAACAACGCCCGCACGCACGATCCCAGAGAGCGAGCACACAGACAACGACTTCAGCCGATCCGCTGCAGAGGCCAATGCCTCGGCGAGCGTGGACCATCCAGTGAGGTCCCGAGGCGCCCCTCGGGAAAGAAGGAACCACCACGGGACGCCCGCGCCACACAGACGAGCAGTAATACCTGAATAGAAGCACCTGGAGAAGATAGACAAACCGAATTGCCAGGCGATCTGTCTGGGAAGAAAAATCCGCCACGCTTTAGTGGCAGGGGGCCAGCAACGGCGCGGCGACAGACACCCGGAAGCCCTTGAGGAGGGGGGGGGGGCAGTCCCGCCGCCTCCATGGACCCGAACTCCACGAACAGAACCTGCAGGACGAAGGACAAGCACTGAGCGCACTTGGTATGAAGACCAAAATGCCATCTGCGAAGAACACCAAATGCACAAACCTTGAAGAGGACCCCGACACGGCTCGAGCAGCCCCCCTCGATGTCGAGCCAGGCCACAAGCTTCAGGGAAATGGGGTCCAGGATGATGCCCGCTTTGGAACCGAAGGCGTTGAAGATGGGGTGTGCCTCGAAGTCGGAAGACACGAGAGCCACGACCCAAATAGCACCTCTGGAAGAACACTCCCTTCACCTCAGAGTTGATGGACACCCAGAACATGCACGTGAAGAAAAGGCCGAACAGGTCAACGACGCGGCACAAGAAGTCCCACACGTTGACGTGCCAGGCTGCAAGCTTCACGAACGTGGGGTACAGGACGATGCCCGCCATGGAACCGAAAATGGAGATGGAGCACGTCTCGAAGTCGGTAGACACGAGAGCCTCGTCCTTCAGTGCGTGGAGCCTATTGGCAAACGCAGCCTTCACCCCCAGGAGCGGGGGCGCTCGAGCCAGCGCATCAACCGATGGTACAGCTCTGTGGACCCTGGCCGAGACCTGAAAACGGGCTCGAGGTGTGCAGCACGCACGGCTGGCTGCAAGGCGTGGACCTAGAGCAACCACGCAGGACGCAAGTACTGCAGCAGGTGTGGCAAAGAGTTCCAGCGGGCCAATCATCGGGATGCGCACCTGGAGCTGAACGTGGCAGCTAGCCTCAGATCGCAACCCATCGTGGCAATCAATGGGATCGCCGCGCAAGCAACGTCACCGCGGCCCTCACAATTGAGAACAACAACGGAGATGGCCAGCAAGCAAGAGAACAGGACGACGTTCAGATATGCTTGCCAGCGCTTGCCGCCCAGAAGAAGACGGCTGGGACCTCAGGGAAGCAGCACCTCCAGGCCCAGGATAGCCTCAAGCAAGCCATGGCCCAAACCCTCAACCGCAAGAGCCTCGACGCCAAAACCCCAAATTTGGCGGGCCACTCCAGCGCCAGCGGCGCCGTCTGCAGTCCAAGAAGGGCGACACCGAGAATAACCTCAGCAGCCTCGAGCAGGCAGCTGACTTATACGAGAAGTCCACCCAGAGCTAGTGCTGCAGCGGCGGAGGCCAGCGCTACTAGGTGCGAGCAAGCCCCGACCACCCTGCTCCAGTTCGTGGACGGCAGCTTCGGCAAGGGAGTGCCCCGGAGTCTTCGAGAGGAACTGGAAGGCGCCAGCGCCAACTTGAACCAGCACTGGGGGGAGGAGAAGAAGCACGAGGCATCTTCTACAGCCTGCCTCTAGTCCTGGGCAGCAGCAGCAGGCGCCAGCAGGGCCCGATGGACCCAGCAGCGCAGCACAGGATACGCCTGGCCCTGAGAGGACGGCTGCAAGAGGAAGGAGGCCGAGCTGCTTGTCGAGATCGCCGCGCACTCCGTCGAGGGCCTCTCCGACGCGGCCGCGCAGGCAAAGGCCAGCCTGGCCAAGCGCGCAGCAGTCTCCTCCTCCAGGACGGCTGGGGGCCAACGAGGCCCAAAAGGGTAACGCATTGAGTGCCTTCACGATGAACAGCCGCAGCTTCACTGGCGCGCGCAAGTTTCTTCTCTCCGAAGCAGCCAAAACGGTCCAGGTCATCTGTTGCCAAGGCGCACGTATTCGATCACACGGTTTGGATAATGACAAGCAGCGATGTGCTACAAAGTGATGGCTAGCAGCTCTGTCACCAGACATTCTAAGTCCATAAGGATTTGCGCTCGCGGGTCTCGATTTCGGTATCTCTCCTCTAGTTGTGCCCAACGATTTCCCCAAGTCGCGGGCCACCGTCATATCGCTTGAGGTCCCAGGACATCAAGCCTTCCGCCTAGGATCTATTTACCTCGCAGACAGCGTCGGCCTGACAGAGGCCAACCTGAATGTCATTGCCAGCGTCGCGCAGACAGCCGCGAACAACCAGTTGCCAGTCATCATGGCTGGCGATTTCAATGTTGGCCCGTTTAAAGGTGATTGAAACCGAGCTCTTATCTGGAGCTGGGGCCCAAATCATAGCCCCAGATCTGCCCGCCTTGTACCCCCAACAAATTGAACCGACGATCAACTATTTCTTGGGATCCAGCTGTTTCGAGCATTTCCTGAAACAGCCCAATGCACCAATTGACTACCGTGTAGTCCGCATAGGCCGGTCGTAGTGGAGATGGTGGTTGGGGCCCATTATCTCGTCCCGATCCTGGGGCAGCCTGAGCATATCCCTATTGTGGCTCCGTATGGGCCCAGCAACCGCTCGCCAGATCGAGACATAAGTCTCGGGGCCCTTGAATCTTTGGAGGGCCTTCTGGACCAACGGGATAATCACCTACAGCGAGGAGTCCAACGAGCTTCTTGTCCCATTTATAACGTAGGTATCACCGGCGCGGTTGACCAACACATGGATATCTCGTGGTCAACATGCCCACCGCGAACAACAGTCTAACCGACGCGCCGCTTCGCAATCGGCGCCATCGCGCCCAAGTACCTTCTGCCTGCTGGGTGCCGGCATCAGCTCTCGAGGCCAAGGATGGGAGGAGTTGGAGGAACGCTGCAGCAGCTTTCAGATGGTTATGTAAGGGATATTACTAGTTGGTATAACGAGGGGAGCTGAGGAGGAGTCGTTGGAGGAGCTGCGCCAGGGCCAGCAGCCGCCAGCTCCGCTCGAGCAAGTCGCGGAACTCTCCACCCAGCTCAACAGCGCGCGCGCATCAGCTACGATCCTGGACGCCGACGAGCCAGACTTTGAGCTGATCGGCACCGCTTTCGACGATTTAGACAATGAAATCTCGATGACCCTGGACCGCGAGACCTCTCGGGACCGCCTGGACGACACTGCCTCCTGGAAGCTCTGAGTCAAGGAAGCAATGAACAAATGGGTGAGGTGGGCCCGCAGGCAGTACAATCGGTTTACCCCCTGGCAACCTCATCGCGTGCGGAAACAGAAATTACCCCGATGGTATGGCAGCCCTGTAGATCTTCTAGAAGCCGGATAGCAGCGCCTTTCCACCCTGTGGCAGGCATCACCACAGGAGATGGATTCTCTTGAAGCAGATGCGAGAGGCCTCGACCCCGAACCGATATCGCTGGAGCAGCTTCGCCGAGCCAGTCGTTGTTTCAGAGCGACTACAGCTGGGACTTGGGATGGGATCCACACCAGGCACTTCAGCCTCCTGGAGGACACCCAGATGGATATTTGTCTGCAGGCTCCTCAGGACCATCGAGAGGATAGGCAAGTTCCCTGTCCAAATCAGAGATATTGTGACCGTCCTCATCGAAAAGCACCAAGAAGGTCCCACCCCAGGTCCAAGCTACCACGGTATAGGTATGATGCAAGGGCTCTGGAGAGTATGGGGCAAACATCGTCAAGTTGAGTACCGCGCTTCGGAGTAAAAGCACCATGGGAAGTACCCTGCACATCAGTCGGTAGGGGTTTGCTGGAGGTGTTTTTTGAGCAGGCAATGCGTGCCGAGGGATTTTTCCTGGACGACAAGAAAGTGTGCTCTGGTGCCGTGCTCTGGTGCCGTTCTGTGGGATTTATCGAACTACCATGAATATTGGGATAGAACGATACGGAAGGCCACAGCCAAGGAAACGAATGCTTCGGACTCCCATGTAGTGACTATCTATAGCCAGTACCAAGCCCCCCGCACTGTAGTCACCCGTACCTCAGCGTTGCCAGTAGGATGCCCGCAGAGAGGCATTGCCGCAGGATTTTGGGCGGCCACTTTTGTTGCGCAGCGGCGCTGTGTTCCGCCAGTTGAAATTTGGGTGGACAACGACCCCGCGCGCAGCCGACGATTCTCATCGATGATCTCCTGTTGCCCAGACACAACAGCAGCCAGAAGTATCTCCTCAGAGATCTCGTCAGGGCCGCAGCTTGCATGCACCAAACGACCGCCCATGATCTCGAGTGCGAAATTGCCATGCACAAGGCTGATGTTGTGGCTTCTTCGCCAGTGATCCAAACTGATTTGGCCTCTCGCCTCGGGCAATGGGCTGGGCCAGCCGCAGCTGATGGCAACCGCAAACCATCAGCCGCAAACCTGGGTGCAGGTTTCACTGCAGGAGCCAGACTGAGGAGCAGGGCCAGGCAGACACTCAGAGGTCGAGGCGCTCAGCTCTGGGACCCTGTATCCACTGGGGCCGGGTCGTCCGGGGCAACCACCCAGAAGCCCCCCAAGGCAGCAGGTGCCCTACCCGAGCTTCGCCGCCCTGCCAGCAACGCTATCGAGTCCCCCCCTGCTGGATGGGGAAGTGTCCGAGGCCCTCTTGGAGCTACCTATCTGAGCTTGAAAAGAATTGGCTGGACTTGGACGCACCCCTTCGCCTTCACCAGCTATACGGGCGAACAGCTTCCGTTGCCAACGACCTCGCCAGCCCTTTTGAAGAGCTTTCTGATTGCAGCCTGGCAGGGGGGTCTCGCAGGTGTTGCAGCAAGGAAGATAGGTACCGACGCTATCAACCTGTCCTACGCCCGGCAGGCGCTCGGCAGGAAGGACCTGCCCAGCAGCGGGCGCAGCACCCTCCTCGACTTCCTCATCCAGTCCACCTTGATTGATTCTCAGTCGCCTTAGTGAAGCTGGTTATGAAACCCCCCACGCAGTGCATATACGGTGCCCCGAAGGATGACCTCAGGCCTCGGCTCCTGGAACGCAGCTCACCAGCCCCCCCTTCATCTGGAACCTGAGGACCTGACCGCTCTGAGTCGGCCTGAGGCCTTTTGCAGGATGTGCTGGTTTTCCGGAGCCTCCCTCTTTCAAGGTTCCCAGGCCTCCTGGTCGTGGTCTCGGTGTTTCTGAGTTTTGGTCCGCCGATGGCCTTTCGCCCGAAGAAGGCTCTAAGGGGGAGGCGCATGTTGATGGCAGTGTAACCAAGGATGGTCATCATTGGTTCCACGCTCCTGGATGGGCCCTGATAGAATTGGGGCCCGACGGTTTTCTCTCGGCCTACATGTGCGGGCCTGTGGGGAGCGGGCTCCCCCCGACCTCGCCTGCAGCTGAGCTTTTTTGGCGCACCTCGCAGCAAGCAAGTTCAGAGGCACAACAAACGTACATTCGGATGTTAAGGGAGCCGTGGACTTCCAAAATGCGCACCGTTTTGCCTGCAGGAAGAATATGTTTGATGAGTGAGGCTCCCTTGCTGCGCGGGGCGAAGCCAGCCGTGACGGAGGTTTCAGAGTCGATAAGGTAAAAGCCCACTAGAAAGTCAGTGAGCTCGAGCCTCTTTCGACCCGCTGGTGGAACGCCAATGGGAATTCAGAAGCTGACCGAGTGGCCAAAATGGCTGCGAATCGTCTCCCCCAGCCCTCCGAACAAAAGAGAGCTGATTCAGCGGAACCCGCCCTCATAATGAAACGTTTCCCGAAGTCTGTTCCCAAGGCCCTCTCCCTGTGGCCTGCAGTGGCCCCCCAGGGTGGGGGCTAGAGGGCTGGGGGCCCCAGCCCTCGCCACCAACCCAACGGTTGGAGCAGCATCCATCCCGGAGTCGTGCGGCGGCCCCTCCCCTCCCTCGGGCCCCTCGGACCGCCCGTGCTGCCCCTGTCTGGTGACGCCAGGAAAGTCGATGGCTCTGCATGGTCTGCCACTCGAGATGCATCAAGGAGGCCTTCTTTTTAAGGCCAGAGAGCATGAGCAGTATCCCGGCAACGCAGCGGGCCTGGCCGAGCTTTGCCATCCAGCCCAGTGGACACCATGTGTTCGTTGATGACGTTGAGGACGGTTCCTTCG